CAGCCATATAGTAGTGCTATTTAGGTACACTGCTTTCAGTTCAGAGGGTAGACCTGAAGATACCACTCTGGAGCATGGTAGGTTTACTATATAGATGGGTACCTTTAAGTACCCTTTGCACCTTTGAAACTCCCTGCTAAACAAATAGCTTTCAGGGTAACTAAGGGGGATAACTGGCACAGCAGCCCCAGGTGCCACCTTTGGGGAGGGGCAGCAAAAAATAGCCTCAGATGCAGCTGGTGGCTGGCCAAGCCATCGCCACCAGCAGCACAGCAGCCAATATTGTCCTGTGTGAGAAAGCTGCCCAGAGTGCAGAGCTGTTCTGTTAAGCCTCTGATGACAAAAGCTGGATTCTCAATACCTTGCTATAATCCCTTACCATAAATGTTCATAGGACCAGAGGAAAGCAGGGTTAGAAGGGGCCTCGTCTAGGTCAACTAGTTTAGTCCCTCTGCTCAAGACACACTCATTCCTAACTAAGTCCTCACAGACAAGTGGCTGTCCAAACTGCTCTTGAAAATTTCCAGGGATGGAGATTCTACAACTTCTCTAGGTAGGCCTGTTCCAATGCTTGACCACCCTCATCATCAGAAAGTTTCCCCTAATCTCTAACCTAAATTTCCTCTGCTGCAATCTGAAGCTGTTGCTCCTAGTCCTGTCCCCTATGGCCACAAAGAAAAGCCCATTTCCATCCTCTCTGTAATCATACATGTATTTGAAGACTGTGATCAACGCCCCCCTCCAACTTCTCTTCTCCAGACTAAATAACCCTTGTTCTTTCAACCTTTCCTCATAACCAGGGTTTGAATTACAGGGGAGCTCGGGGGGAGATGAGCTCCCCACCCCCATAAAAGACAAGAGCCCCCCTTATGAGATTTGAAAATCATAACCTGGGGGGGTCTCTTATTGGGGCATCATGATGAGCAGCCCATTTTTTTGCAGACCTGCCCCCCAAGAATCAAAATGTAATACAAACCCTGCTCATAACCCATACTTTCCAGGTCTCTAATAATTTTTGTTACTCTCCACTGAACTCTTTCCAATGTATTTGCATTCTTTTTTAAATATGGGGCCCAAAATTACTCCAGTACTCCAGGTGAGGCCTGACCAGTGCTGAACAGAGTAGAAGAATCACTTCCCTTGATTTTCAGTGATACCCCTTGTAATACAACCCAGTATGTTTTTGGCTTTTCTTGCACCAAGTGCACATTATTGGCTCATATTCAGTTTTTGCTCCACTGTAACCCCTAGATACCTCCTTGCAGTACTGCAATTTAACCAGTCATTTCCCAGCCTGTGTTTGTGTTTGCAATTATTTTGTTCCAGGTGCAGCACTATGTTCCTGTTCTTGTTGCATATGGTTGATTGCAGACCATTTCTCCAGTCTATCCAGGTCATTTTGAATCCTAGCCCTGCCCTACAGAAAGCCTGCGATCCCACCCAACCCACTGTCATCCACATATTTGCTAAACGTGTAACTCAATCCATCAACCAAATCATTCATGATGGTATTAAACAATATTGGACCCAGCAGTGATTCCTGGGGAACCCTACCTGATATCTTCTCCCAACTAGACATTGAATAATTAATGACTCATTGAGCACAATGATCCAACCTTTATGCATCCATTTTTCAGTACTACCATCTAAGCCGTATTTCCTCAGCTTGTTAATGAGAATGTCATGGGAGAAAGTGTCAAAACCCCTGCTAAACGCAAGGTATATCACATTCACTGCTCTCCTGACATCCATAGAACCTATCACCTTATCATAGAAGGAAATCAAACTATTCAGGTGCGACTTGCTCTTTTGAATCTATGTTGGCTGTTCCTGTTCACCCTGTTCTCCTCTATGTTCTAGGTTCCTCGAGGCTCCATGACCTTTCCAAGTATGAGGGTCATGATGACTTGTCTCTAATTCCCCAGATCCTCTTTCTCCCCTTTCTTAGAGACAGACACCATATTTGATCTTTTCCAATCAGTCCTCCTCATCCAACCTCCACAAGTTCTTAGAAAGGATAGGTAACGACTCTGAAATTACCTCAGTCAATTTCTTCATTACTGTAGTCTACATTCCATCTGGTCCTGCCTACTTGAAGCATCCAGCTTCTCTAATAATCCCAAGCCAGTTCTGTCATTACTAGGCTGTTTGACTCCTTATTTTGTTGCCAACTGCACTCACCATCTGGTAGCTGCCCCTATTTATAAGGACACACTTGTAGAATCCCTTTTTATTGCCTTTTACGTCTCTTGCCAGGTGCATCTCAAATCATCCTTTGGTTCTCCTAATTTTCTCTCTGCACACCTGAAATACTCTTATACTCTTCCATAACCAAGTTTCCACCTTTTTGTAGGATTCATTTTTGAGTTTCTACTCACTGAAGAGATCACTGTCTAACCTGGCTGGCCTTCCATTACACTTTCTGTTCTTCTGTTGCATCGTGATAGCATGCTTTCTCCTGTCCCGTTAAAAGGGGCTCCTTAAAGTAGAGCCAGTTCTTTTGGATTCTGCCTACAATTTCCCTGATTCTGGAGAAGATTCTGCCTACAATTTCCCTGAGTTTCTTAAAGTCTGCCTTTCTGAAGTCCAGTGCCCTTATTTTGCTGCTCTCCTTCCTTCCTTCCCTTAAGATCTTGAATTCTTTCATTTCATGGTCATTGCCATCCATTACCTTCCACCTTCACATTCTCAAAATATTCCTTGGTGTTTGCAAGCAGCAAGTCAAGAAGAGCTTCCCCACTAGTTGGCCTCCCTATCATCTATATAAAAAAAATATCCCCAACACAGAATTTTCTGGACTGCTGTTATATTTTAGTTGGAAAAGTCTCAGTATGATCAGTTTTTAAAGTAATGGATTGAATTTCATTATTGGCCATTACCTATATTCAATAACAAAACAATAAAGAAAAGTTTTAAGTGACATTTTTATACTGTCACCAGAAATCAGCCAGTTGATTGTATGAAGTGTTGCATGAACACACAGGGCTCCATCTGTAAACACTGCAGTACAGAAGTCTCGTTGCTTCCAGTCAGGTATTTATGACAGGCTATGTTCTACTATGGGTATTTTCCATGCTTCTGGGCTTTCCTGGTTGACCCCCACCCCACTTTCTGCTACATGTGTCAGAGGTGTTTTAAGCCTTCCTCAAAGGCATTGGGAATTGGCTGCAGCCAAGGCTGGGGATTTTGACTGGGTGTGCCAATGCTCCTGCTAGGACCAAAGCCAAAAGTTCCTGGCTAGAGGGTCTTACCCCTCAACTCAGGGTCAGATTGATCACTATATTTGGTGTCAGGAAGGACTTTTACCTCATGGTCAGATTGGTATAGACTATGGGGGGTTCTGTCTTCCTCTGCAGCTGGGGGGATGGCTCTTTACCTGGGATCTCTCAAGCATATTTTAATAACCTTTTATAGAAGCAGGACATTGGCTGCTGTGGTTCCCTGCTTTACCTGTGGCGCATTAGGATGTTATGTTTTGTGCTGTGCCAGAGCTGGCAGTAGTCTTATGAAGATCTTAGATCATGGATTGTATAGGATTGTTGGGATAAGGATGATCATGCCTCAGACAGGGGATAGTGCTAGATGACCTCTGAAGGTCCCTTTCAGCCCTGCTTCTCTATGATTCTCTGTGACATATGCACCCACCAGATGAATCATGGACCTGATCCATTCCCATAAAACCAACAGAAGTTGCTCCATGGATTCAACTGTGTTTGGATTAGGCCATAAATCTTATTTTTTCAGCTTTCATGGGTTGTAAGAATGGAACAAATAGAATGACAGATGAAAAACTGTTTCTAAACCCTTGAGGAGTGAAATTCTCGATAATAATCTTCTGAATAAGGTAGTGGAGGCAAGAAACCTTAATTTCTTTGAGATGATGTTTGATATATTTATGGAGGAAACAATATACTATATTAAGGGTGTGCTTAGAGTACTAATGAGAGCATGTGAGACATAGATCTTCATGACCGATGCCCCCATGAGGGGTCTGAAAGGTAGGCTGACCTCCATGAAGGTTGGTTGTATCTGGGAGCTATGTGGTACCTCCATACTTTAGGATTCTGAGGGTCAACTGCTAAATCCATGAAGAATTCCTCCCCCCAACAGGAAACATCATTTAGTTTCTGGGGTTTTTTTCACCTTCTTATGAAGCATTGGGCATTGGCCATAGCTAGAAGCAAGATTGTTTTGGGAGCACTGGTGCTCCTAAATGGTACTGGGAAATCTCTCAGGCATCTGGCTGGTGGATTTTGCTCATACACTCAGTGTCTACAAAAAGGATTTTTCCCTTGTTTAGACTGATAAGGATTGTTGTTGTTTTTTCCCTCCTGCTGCAGCACAGGGCATGGCCCCTTCCTAGGACTGGTGGTCCCTTTTCTCTTCCTATGACAGGCTGTGGGATTTGTTTAATTGGGTGCTCTGTGGCTACGGTATGTGAAAGAGGCAAGAATGGATGTTCTTAGGGACCCTTTACAATAAATGTTCATTGCATGGTTGCCTGCAAATGAAGGGAACAGAACTAGATGGCCTGGGAGGTCCCTTCTAGTATTATGCATGCTCTTAAATCCCATGTGATTTTATCGATATTTTTTCTTAGAAATATACATTTGTGACTTGAGACAACTTAACATGTTTAATGTAAATTACTTAATCAGCTCTATTATGAGGGCTGAATCAGCAGTCTTTAAAACAGATGACTGTGGAAGAACAAACCAAAAGTAAAGTGCATCTTCTCCACACAAGTCTGTTCCTCAAAACTACTGAATATTCATGCTGCAGTGTCAAACAGAGTTTAATATCATGCAGCTGCTGAGAGTTTGTATGTATTTGCCCATGGCATTTCTAGTGGAAGAACATAAACGTTCACATTTTGTCGTCTTCGACTGATCCACAGGTTCCAATTGAAATCACGCAAATATTTGATGTACATCAAATATTTATCAGGTCTGGGGTTAACTCTGTTATATTAATAACTCAAATTGTAAAACTCAACTGACCTTTAATCACACTGGTTTTCTCTAACGTAGCTGTCTCAGTCATGTTCTCCGCATTCTCCCGGTGCTCCAAATCATTTTGACAAGTAACTTGTAATTCTGAAACAGCAGCAGCTTGATTTGAGGACAATTTCTTGGTGTTATCTGCACAGAGATTCTGAAATAACACAGAGCAGCATGATTGATTTCAGGTGTAAATTGTTAGTCCAAACTGGATATTTTTCAGAAATGTGACAAGGAAGAGCATCAGTCATACTTTAGGTGAATTTTCTGTGAATTTGAAACACGAATCTTCTGTTTGTCAAAGTATGGTATAAATCACATTTACTACAATGCTTGCCTTTGAGGCATGTACACTATGAAGTAACATGACTAGAATGAAAAGACAGTCTAAGTTCAGAAATAACCTATTAGATATACTCTACAGTGTCTCTCTCTCTCTCTCTCATACACACACGTATGTAAAAGAGAAATTTCTATGTCTGCTTAGGCTAAAATAAATTTCTTTGTAGTCATTTGTTCTTATTTTATTGCTCATTAATTTGATGGATTTTATGATACAGTATATCATGAATATGTATAATATCTGGCATTTCAATTATGGTTATGTAGTTATCCTTTTTTAATATTGTGACCATGGTTAGATGGTCATTACATGCAATTGTTGCATAAGTAATTAGAGTGTAATTATATTGCAGAAGGTAAATTATGTGGTTGTGCTACTTATCACCTTTTGTCTGGCACATGTATTTAGTACATGCATTTTTTAGAACCCAGGTTCATTAATTGTAATTCATTTATACTGTAAATATTCTAAACCATATAATTAATATTCTACCTATATGAATTATTAGCAATCACATGTATCAAAAACAACCTGAGTGAAATTTTATCTAACTGCAATGTAAGTATAGTCCAGTTACAGTCAATATGCTATAAATTTTATTCTTATCTGCAAAATCAATATAAGTTTTTCATTCAAAATGAAATACAAGTTTTCTTCAGCAGTAATACACCATACAAACCCATCCTATTCAGTCAAAGAACTTAAAGTCAGTAAAACTCACTGGTTGTACAGAAATAGTGTTTGGTCCATTAACAATCAACCCACACTCAAAGATAGCACAAGCAGGAGCACAATGGCCACCATTTTATACTAGTCTATCTATTTGGAAAGAGTTATCAGCAAGAAAGCAAATGGCAAATATGAAACAGAAAGTTTGGTACAGTATATTAAGCAAGAAAAATGGTGATGAAACCTTTATTGTACCTGTGCAATTCTCCTTAGAAGAGAAAAACAACATGTCATAAGTGGGAGATCCTACTTTTTCAGGTGCAAGAATATAAATTGGCATTCTTTTAAAATGGCATTCTTTTCTACATCCTTTTTAAAAAAGCAAATACTAAAACATATCTCCAGACATGCTTTGCATCACATAATTTTATATCAGATAGTTCAGTACAGGTTGAATGTTATAGCAGAGATTCTATTTGTGAAAGAATCTAAGATAAAACAAAGAAAAAGCTAAAATTCAGTGGGTAAAATTCACAGGAACCTCAGGGATTAGAGCAAACAAGAAATATAACTGAATATGATTTTAGGAAGAGGCCAGAAATGTCAAAAGGAAGTCTTAGCAACATGGAAGACAAAGGAAAAGTATACTGCTGTAACTGGGCCAATTCTCTGCTAGTGTATCCTAAAATAAGGCAACTCCACTGAAGTTAAAGAGGAATTGTCATTCTGCACCTACAGAGAGTGGGGCTCTTTTTCTAATAAAATCTCTCTTGCACCTCATTTCTACTGTACATGGATAGACACTTTACCAACTTGCCACTAGTCTTGCCTGATCATATTAAACATGTTTTGCAGATAAACATTTCTAAGGATTATTCAGAAAAAAAGTTAATATGTTCAAAATACAAATTTGAAAAACTTCCAACAAACTTGCCACTACTGTTGTAACAATGGCATTTGCATAATTTATACTGAAGGTGAAAAGTGAGGAAATAAATAAGTAACATCTGTTTGTAGGTTTCCAGTGTCCAAGTGATGGGGGGGGGGCATTCACTGCTGAAATAAGCTTTAAACTATCTTTTCTTCAGTCTCCTATCTTTAAGACAGCCTTAAAAATGCTACCAAAACAGAAATGGTAAATATTTTTAATATCTTTAACACTCTTCAATTTTGTTCTATCTGCATTTCCTTCTTTAACCCATTAATCATAATAATTACCACAAACTATGATACACACATTCTTTATTTTGTGTTATCTAAACTAAGTCTCGAGATCAAGATAGAGAAATCCTCTAATGACGGAAAGTATGACTAAAGTTTGTGATAAATTTTTCAATTGGTCAACCACACTGCAATTTTAGAGTGGATTCCAAGGACTGGGTCTTAAAGGAACTTGGCAAATCAGTTAAAACATATTTAAATTAAAAGAGGCCATATATTTAAAAATAAACTAGGTTACACAACTGAGACTTTTGCTTCAATTTAGATTGCAAGCTGACACCACATGAGCATTCCTATAAGAAATGTATTCACTGAATTCAATTAAGTCATGGGTTTTCAACCTTTTTAAATAAGTGTACCCCGCCATGGCCTCCTTTTTAGTAAGTGTACCCCCAGGGGAGGAGGGTGGCTGGATGCCAAGCGAGTGGGGAAGGGGGGGGAAGCAGCTGGATGCGGAGCAGCGGCGTGGTGAGTGGTGGCAGCACAGTGTCTGTGTGGCCCTGCTCTCAACCCAGCCCTGCTCTTGTGAGGCAGCGGTGCAGGATGTTGATGCTCCATCCCCTCCCACCCCTGCATACTCCATGAGACCTTCCAAAGTACCCCCAGGGGTACACATACCCCCAGTTGACAACCCCCGACTTAAGTCATACATAAGTGTGAGCAACTAAAAATGTAGCCTGAAATCCTGCATCCTCATTTAGTGTTATTAACACCGATTTGAAGAAGAATTTAAATCAGATAAAAACCTGATTCTTTTTAAGTCAATGGCCCCACCAATAGGTCATAATATTACCTGTTGTCCTCAGACAGAATTCTGTCAAAAGACAAATTCAGTTTTTAAAAAGTCATTATTTGGACCATGGTCATTTGTAACCATACAAAATAGTGCAATACAATACAAACCTAAAGCCATAACTACTCGAATCAATAGAGACAGGTTCAGCCCCTACTCCGAACTGCTACAATACAAACCCTAATAACACAGATAACAGCATCCCTTTGGTTGTCATCTGCAACCCTAGCTAGACACATTATTAATGACCTCCAATCCCTCCTTGAAAAGGATGACCAACTCAAAGTACCTATGGGAGACAAACATGTCCTGTCTTACACAGAGCCCTCCCAACCTCAAATGATAGCTCTTCAGCAGCAGACTACCTAACTCCTGTTCTCACCAAGGCACCAATCCAAGCTCCCAGATACATGCTAGGGTAGATTTGTATTTTATAGACTAACCAAAGCACGCGCGCACGTGCGCATGCGTTCGTGTGGGTAGCACAAGCTTTTGCAAGCTGTAGCTCACTTCATTAGATGCTGACAAAATCAGAGGTGGGTACGCTTTCGCAAGCAGCAGCTTACTTCATCAGATGCAGGAGGCAGAGCTTCTAAATAGAAAGCAGTGATTAGAATAGAAAAGGTACAGAAGGGGGAGGCAAATGTGCTAAGCTAAGTATTCAGTAGTAAGGTGAAAGTACCTTTTTGGTCACTTTTAGATTCAAATCAGTATTTCATTGTCTTATTTTATGCATTCCAGATAAGCTCAACACAGATTTACAGCTTGTACTCAAAGCTGCAGCCTCAGTTCTTACTAAAATGATCCATCTCCAGTCCTTTGATCCTTGCATTAGCCCCCAATTTTTTTTATTTTAATAGTTCTGACTTTCTGCTATCTCAGGATGCCTTATCTTTATAACCTTTACCTTGTCTCTGGAGTTATCTCTGGAGGGTGAGTGATGCTAGAGGTGTTTTAGGCAATTTTTAACAAAGCATCTGAAACTGTGATCACAAACCTTTACTTGTTGTAACCCTTATATTTGGATTCCCATGATCCAGTTTGATTGCTTTTAGTGAAATAAAGGCAAGGGAGATTTTCACTCTATAAACTAAGTAAAAGGTAGGGTAGATTTGTACTTTATAGGCTAACCAAAGCATTACTACTCAAGTATACAATATTGCATAAATAATTATTCTGTGTCTTCCAATAGCACTGTTCATCCAAAACTCTCATTGTGCTTTAAAAACATTAATGAACTAAACTTCACAATATACATATTAGCCTCATTTTACATATGGCAAAATAATATCTCTGTCTCTTTGCGCACATCTACATGAGATGCTTTACTGTGCAGTAGACTAATCTACTGCACAGTAAAGCATCACTATGTAACTGCATCGAGCTACTGCACAGTAAAATAGGCTAATGCTCAGTAAATCAACTAACTGTATTACAGGTAGTAGATTTACTGCACATTAGCTAATGTGCAGTAGTACATGTGTAGATGCTGACTGGAAGCAAATTTGGTACCAGTCAACCAGACCAGTAGGAGGCCAGCCTCCTGCCAGGGGTAGAGCAATGTGGCTGGGAGGCCCTCCAGCCACAGGGCAGGGACAGTTCTTTAGTAGTTCCTGGCTGGCTTTTAGACCCCTGGCTTGGCTCCTGGCACCTGGACCATCTGATACCAAGCCCTGGGCACTGTGTGCTGGTGTGGTGGGCACGTGCTTGTTGCAGGAGCACCGCAGAGCCCCAACCTGATGCCCAGGCCTCTGCTGGTTGCTTACTGGCCCCTGGGTACCATGACCCTGTGCTGAGGGCACATATTGGCCCCAGCAGTCCTGCAGGCCATTGTGCATGAGTGGGAGAGGGACTGAGAAGTCTGTACCTTCTGGGACAGGTTCCTTGCTCTGGAGAAGAGACGCATTGCCCACCTTGATAGGATGCTAGAGGCACAGGAGAAGCAGGACATCATGGTGGCCTGGGCAGAAGAGGGCATGGAGGAGGGCTGCCAGGTACTGAACACCATCCTGACCTTGGGGGTCATCTTTTTTCTGCCTGCCCCCAGCCCCCAGCTCTGTCCCTGACTGACACTTGGCATCTGCCTGTCATCTGCCACCTGCCATAGGTCTTCACCTGAGAAGAGGTCCAGCAGCACCTGGAGTGGCCAGGGCCCCCTC